TTTCCAACTAAGACGGGTGAAAAATGAACCAGCATTGACACTTGGCTCCCTGTGAAAGCCCCGTAACCTCTCCCCCCTTCCGTGGCCCTGGCCTTTTGTTCCTGGAGAAGGGAGCTAAGGTACTTTTTCTCCCAGACCAAAGGCAGCAGGCAAGGAGTCCCCTTGTGCGCACAGCGCCTTTAGATGGCCTTCTCATGGTTATTGTCAATGCAGACTTCCCCAAACAATTGCTCCAGGGAGACACAAAAGCAAAAACATTTGTCCTATTTTTTTAACCTCTTTGTTTTAGATTTTTTTTTCATCCATTCTTTAAATTTCACAGTTTCTATTTGTCTGCAGAGAGACAAACGGAACAGCATGAAGCACATTTTACCGTAGGCCTCACTGGCGATTGGAACAGCCTCAATAGAAATCCAAATTCTAAAACACTGGCCGACTTGGAGGATATGTGAAATTTCAGCTCAGGGCTCTGAAGTCAGATTAGCACAGATTTTTGAACAGCAATGCACTACAATGAAAAGATAAGAAAGTGGGATTGGGGAATTATTTGGGGAAAAGCGTGAAGGAGTCATCTTTTGTTTATCTTGTAGTATCCTGCCCCTATTTGGAAGTGGCTGCTAGACAGGGAAGCATAACAAACCTATGGGAAATTCTTCATTAAAAAAAAAATCCGATTTGTGGTGGTTGTGCTTCAGATACACCACGAAATAGACTGTGAAAACTGAGGAGTAGAAAAACTGTGGGTAGATATGTGGAATTGGTATTGTGGTTTTTATTTTATTTTTTCTTTTTTTAAACCTAGGGTTTATTTTAATAAAAAAAAAAATCTAAGGTTTATGTAAACAGGCAATGTCCCCTCCCCCTTTTCTTTTCCTCTCCTGTTTCCTGTTTCCTTTCTTCTGCCTGCAACCTGCTTCCCCTCCAAGAATTCAGGGCTTTGAGTCAGGCCAGTGTAAAGTGATGTGGAAGACAGTTGGGGATAGCCCAGGAAGAGCCCTGGAGTCCACCTCCTTTTTTTTTTTTTTTTCTTTTTCTTGGATGCAAACAAAGCACCACTCTCCTGTAATGTATGGACCTGACTGGAATGATGTCCTTAAGCATCTCTCTGCCTTTTCATTAAAATTCTCAATTTCAAGGTTTAGAAACAAATGTAAGAATCCCCTTGGGTGTAAAAGTCTTGCATGGCAAATTTTCTTTGCCCTTTCAGAAATAATATTTTTGTTTTCTTTTTAAAAGAAATATAGAGAGCTGTCTGCTAACATTTGAAGCTTTTTAAGGTAACTTCTGTATTTTTGCTTTCTCTAGACTTGAGCGTTGCCATTTAAAATTATCAGGGAAAAACTCAAATCATAGTTTTTTTTTTAATGGTTACTCATTTGTGTCTTTCTTGTGTATATTTGATAACGGTAGTTTAGGGCTCAAGCAAGGGAGGGCGGATAAGTAAACTAGATAACTGTCCACTTGTAGTTTGGAGGTAAAAAATAATTTGGAATTAGCGCGGCAGCGACACATGGGGGTTTAGGGTTTGTGTCAGAAATCTGAGTCCAAACATCTGTGTAGGCCTTGGTGCTCTGGCCTCCACTGGCTGTGCAGGCCTGCAGAGCCTGTCCCCAGGAAAGCCTGCATGCTGTACCATACCCAGCAGGGCCTAGCCACCCAGCAGGTACCAGCCCCTAAATAGAACTGCCTCAAAATCATGGGGTGAACTCAGGCCATGAGCACGATTCAGCTCCAAATGGGTCCTTATTTATTTCAGGGACATTTGTTTGTATGGTTCATTTTTTTGCTCCTCTTCAGAATCTTCATTTTGAAAGCGTCTAGATTATTTAAGCACATGTTTTAAAATCAAGATGGATGTATAATTTAATAAAAATAGAAGGTTCTGGAAGAAGACGTGAATCTACCTAAGCCCAAGTGCACTGTGAAGAGAACCCAGAATGCTGACATCCACTGTATCTTCTCTTCAGAGATCATATTTGCCTTTGCTGAAGTGAAGGGGAGGGAGGGGGGCAGAGAGAGAGAGAGAGAGAGAGAGAGAGAGAGAGAGAGAGATGGGGGGAGAGAAAGCTCAAGACAGCAAGCTCTTACCCCCAGCCAGCAGGTTTGATTGGGTTGGGTCAGTGTAATTTAGCAGCCAGCTAGACATTGGGGCAGGCCTCTGGCGTGGAGAATGGGTAAGGGGAGGAGTAGAGAAGTGGCTAGCTAGCTTTCCCTGATTTATTTAAAAATATTTACCCTTTTGGCTGTTGCCAATTACAGTTTCCAGATGAGATGAGAGTGGGTATGGAGAACTGCAAGGGAAGAATGACCTCTTCTGAGGGTGGGTTTATGTGTCAACAGCGGTCAGAATGGAGCAGGAGATGTCAGGCTGTCACTGCTGGGTAGCCCCTGGGTTTCCTGTCAGGCAGCTGCTCTGGGAAGAAGAGGGTAGCATTTGCAGTATGTATTTTACAGAAACTGGGCTGATCCGTATGTCAGTGCAAAAGTTGCCGATTCCCTCTGAAGAAGTCTTGTTTTTGTTCATGATGAAAATAAGTTTTATCAAGGCAGCCCGCAGCTTCTGTGCAGTACTTTATAGTCATAAATGCTACAGAGGCCATAGATTACCTGACTGTGACTTACCTGTTAATTTTTGCCGGGAACAAAGGCAAGTTTGAGTAGGCCACACAAGGCCTTTAGCTGTTGCAGGATTAAGATTAAAAAAAAAAAAAAAAAAAAAGGCAGGGGGAGGTGTGGGGGGTGGGGTCAGCTCACAGTCCCACTTGTCAGGCCTCTGAGGACCAGGAGCCAATCACCTGTGGTCTAGGACAGAGGCCGACTTTGGGCACTTGTCCTTGTGGCTCTGCCAAAACCTTGTCATCCTCCCAGATCCCTAGAACCTTGTTCTTTGGGTTTTCTAGCTTTTGTTTTATTGAAGGTGTTTATCTGTGACCCTCAGAGGTTAATGACGTCACAAGTTTACCAGGTTGTCCCCTGTTAATAAAAGTTAAGACAAAGGAGGAGAATTACATTTTTTGGGAGTATAAGGTTTTTCTTGTTGTCTTTATCAAACAGCCCGTGAGGTGCTTCCGGGTGAGCAGGGAGGTTTCTGGAGTCTTTCATTTTCTGGAAGAGGCTTGCAGGGGTATGTCTGCTGGGTGGGCCACATTGCCCACGTTATTGCTAGCATCATTGTTTTCATGTATTATTCATAGTCCCCTTTTCAATTAAATTATTAATTGGTTTTCTGTAAGGTGTTCCTGATTCATGTGACTAACATAAATAACAGTGTGTTTTGAAAATACACCACCTGTTCTAGGGCCCGAGGTCAGGCGGCCTGGAAACAGCTCTGCAGTGACTGGACTCTGGTTTACAAAAATCATCCACCACTTTCCTTTGGGGCTTTCCACCCCCTCTCTGTCCTGCCCCCCACTCTCACATGTGACTGAATTTGGCTTGTGCCCTCCTTTGTCCCTAATCGGACATGATTCCCTGGAGGCAATCTTTTCACCCAGGGCCCTAGCTTGGAAAAAAAATTTTTTTTTTTTTTTTGGTCTGTTTTCTGTACTACAATGTAGAGAGGGGTTAACTATAGCCAACAGGTTAGATATTTACATTAATTTGAATCCAGATTGCGCAGAATGCCTTTTACACGGGGACATGGTGGTTTTCATCAGCCAAGCATCGCTTTCCGTCTCTGTTAGTGTGTGCTTAATGCTAATACGATTCCATACATACTGCTCTTCGCCTGGTGAGCTTATTATATTTCTAACACTTGCATGGTTCATTATTGTGCAGTAGGAAAAGCCTCTCGCGGCTGTAAGGCCAGGCTGGGTGGGTGGCTTTCAGAAAGGGAAAAAGCAGGTGTCTTTCTTTCTATGCTGAGAGAATTGGGAGTAGATTCAGGCTGAGGGTGGGATTCTGACAGAGGCCAGGCGACTTCCGGTGAGATTTCTGTGGCGCTGTTTTTGCACAGTGGAGTGGGAAAGGTGAACTTGGGGTTGTATAAGTATGCAGCAATTGCTTTGGCCAACGGGGTGGCTGCATTAAATTTGACCCCGACGGTAGATTTTCCCTGGGAAGGGCCTGATCCCTGCCATCTCTGAAATGTCAGTGCTTTATAAGGCGATGCTCCTTAAAGCACCTAATTGTAAACTGGGGTTCTTGTTACTTTTTTTCTACCTCTCTTCCCTAGCTGTCTTTTTCTTCCTCCTTCTCACCCTTCAAAACCTAGCCTTAAACTCGGAATTCTCCGCAAAGGATGTTTTTTTGTAAGTTTCTGCAGCTGAAAAACAGAAGTGCTCTGTAAAGCAGTTAATAGGATGGGTGTGTGTTTCAAATAAAATTCCTGTCCACATTGGCTAATGTCCCCATGCTAGAGTGGCCTGGCTCTGACGTGGCGGGGCCGAGAGACCTGATGGTTCCGGTTCTGAGCCCCCAGGCTGCTTTTTGTGGCCCGGGGCGAGTTCCTTTCTTCTCACCCGACGTTTCTAGGCCGGCCCCTGACTTTTGAAGAGCCAGGGGTCACTGCCTCCGGGAGATCGGGGCTTTGTTCCCGCCAGCCTGGTTCCCGGGGTGGTGCAGGCCGAGCCGCCAGGGTGTCCCCGGTCCCTGGCTGTGCGAGCGCGGGCCCGGCCTGCCCCGAGGCCCGTGTCCCCCGGAGCAAGTGCCGGGGCCTCGCGTGCCCCGTGTGTGTCCCCGGGTCCCCGCGGGCGGGCGCGGGCACCGTGAGCAGCCCGGCCTGCGCCCGGCACGACTGTAGATGTCAGGCTTTGCCCGGGGAGCCGAGCAGCGGCGGGGCTGTGAGTTTCAAATTAACCTTCCGCTTTGTTGCTGTGTAATGTGGATCCCCGAAGGCCCCCCGCCCCGCCCGCCCCCCTTCCCCGGGCGGTGCGCGCTGCAAACTGCGAGTTGAGCTTCATTTACATAAAGCGATTCCGGCGGGAGGGCGGCCGTGGAGGAGGCGGAGGCGGGCAGGCCGGGGCCGGGGCCGGGGCCGGGGCCGGGCCGGGGACGCCGCGCCCCGTGGGTGAATCCCCGCCGCGCCCCGGGGACCTCCCTCCGGGCGGGCGCCGCCGACCTGCAGCCCGGCCTGGCCCGGCACCATGAGCCCCCCTCCCCTGACGCCGGGTCCCGGGCTCCTGGCCGGCAGCACTGCGGAGCCCCGGGGGCAGCGGGAGGTGGGGAGAATGCCGCCTGGGGCGGGTGAGTTCGGGGCTGCGGTGTCGCTGGAATTTCCCATTGTCGCGCACAGTGGCGCGGCCCCCGGACCTGCGAGTGCCTCCTCCCTCTGGAGGTGTGCGGAGGCTTTGTGTGCCAGGTGAGTGCAGCGCCCTCCCCGCCGCCCGCCCGCCCGCGGGTGCGCGCAGCCGGCCTAGCAGCGCTGCAGGCAGGTGCGGCGAATCTTGGCTGAACTTCTCCTCTCGGGGCGTGTGGGGGAAGGGCGGGCTGCATGGACTTGAACTCCTAGACTCGGGTGGAACCTACCTGGGCTGAGGGCGTCTTTTTAAGTTCTGCTGGGCGCAGAGTACAGTCCTTCCTTCCGCCTTCCCTCCCTCCCTTCTTTCCTCCCTGCCGCCTCCCCTCCTTACTCTTCTCCTGGATTAGTTCCTGCTTTCTGAGCACTTAGGCTACTGGTGCCATGTAGAAGTTTGGGTTCCTTCACCTAAGAGTACGCCCCTTGCAGCGAGAGAGGTCTCTGGTCAGTTCAAAACAATGTGAAGAATGCGCCTGTTGTGCCGCAATTAAAGGGAGAAGCAGAGAGTTGGAGCTGGAGGGCACCTTTGGCGATCATCCTGTCCACCCTCTAATTTTAGTTTGTTCTCACTCTGGAAACACCAGAGCAGCTTTATTTCTCAGGGGAGGGAGTGCAGTGGGAAAGCTACGATATTTGTCCTGTTAAAGGGGAGGAATGCCCAAGTATATCAGTGGCAGGAAAAAATAAAGAGGAAAGTCATCTCTCTAGGTTTGAAGCAAAAGGAACTCACTGGAAAATGGCCTTTTCTGCTTTGGCCTCACCTATGTCAGGATGGGGAAATGCCACCGGGGCTAAGGCTTCAGCCCGACCCCCACTGCTGCGTGTATTCTAAGATGTAGTTTCCCAACATGATGACCTACAATGTGTTAAACTGGTTTAAAGGAAACTTCTGAGCAGGTGGATCCCAAAGGGTCATCCCTCTTCCTCCACCTGTATCATTTAATAGGCCTTAGAGGTTTTTAAAAAGCTAATGGTAACCTCAGAGGGAGTAGACAGATGCCCCACTTGGGCATCCAGGGAAGGGCCCTCTCCTTAAGCTGGGGCCTGCTTGGTGGAATGCATCAAGGCAAAGCACGGAACACAAATTTAAGCCTGGAAGACAGATAGCAAGAAAGTTGCATATCATCTTATTTAATCTCATGCTTTGAGATCCTTGGAGACAAGTCACTAAATAAAGAGTATAATTTAAAGCCCACCCTAGCTGGGGAGACTTTCTTTGCCATCAAGAAGCAGGTGCAGGTTTGTAGAGTGGGCCCCTCGAGTCCCCTCATTCTTAAATTCAGGAGGTGTCAAACCTTCATGTTCTTTTAATGGCTGTGGTTTCTGGATAAGTTTCAAGGGAAACCCGAGGCTGGGCTGGAGAGGGAAGCCCAGTGCTGTCGCCCAGACTGCATTTGATAGGAAAACATATACCTTCAAGGTAACCTGACTGAGGAAGGCTATAGCAGGGCATGAGGGCCTGTTTCTTGTTATCAGAACAGCCACTGGCAGCCTGAGATTCTGACTGTGCCTGTTACCTAAGCATAAAAAACGGGGAACTGAGGCAGGGCCTGAAGGGTACCAGGAGGCCATGGTTCTCTATTTAAGGATTTCAAAACTGGGGTCTGTGGCAACAGGGGCATACCTGGTGTCTGCACACCTGTGTTTGTATTCCTTCTATTCCAAGGGGGCCCTTTCATAGGAGGTGTGGCTGGGAAGGCCAAGAACAACTTCTCCTCTTGCCCTTTCCTAAATTAGAGGACTAAGGAGATTGTCTGGTTTCCAGCATAGTTTTTAGAAAGCATGTAAAGTGCCTCTCAGAAAGGGCTGGGGTCACACTTGGTCTTTTATTTAATTACACAAGTGTTATTTAACAACATGGGACAGATGCAGAAGCAAGCACTTTATACTTTAAAAACAGTCTTTTTGGAATCGCAAGGAATCAAGTAACTTGACTTTCTGTCTTTATGACACGAGTCACTTTCCTTGCCCAACTTCAAAATAATTTTTTTTTTTTTAATGACCACGCTTCCTATGGGATAGAGGGCTGCTGTTTTCTATTTCTCCTGAAAACAGCTTCGATGGACACGGAACCCATTGAGAAATAATTTGCTAACTTTTGGCAGAACAGCACCAACCAAAATCTGAGCTGTTTCTCCAGCCACCTGAAACTTTAATTTTGGTTTTTTCATTTTGGTCTTTTATTTTCACGAATGAATACTGAGGGAGAGTGGAAAGGGCCCAAGTGAAACCATACTCCGCTGATCCGCAGAGCAGGCCTCTGTTTGGCTCATCCCAGCTGGACGGTGAAGTGCCTCCCTTTTTGCTGCTTTGGGATTGAATTTAACTGCTATGTAAACCCAGTGCCAGTTGGACTGCCTAGTTGCAAGGAGCTAAACTAAGCAAGATTTCAGTTTTCATCATTATGACTTTAAATGATGGCTCCTAGCTGCTCCCAGGATGGGCCTGGCTCACCCTGGGTGACCCAGAGGTGGTTAGTTCATTCTGGACTTGCAGGCTGCTGGAAAAGTTATCACCTGGGGCTGGTGGCAATTTGGCTTAGTTCCTTGAGTTCTGGTCACAGGTGGTGTCCAGGGAACATCTCCTTATTGTTGCTGTGTCCTTTCAGTTACCTCTTAGGGGATTGGCTTTTTGGCTTCTGATATGTTAGTATGAGTGCCTGGAAATAAATACTTTGAGGGCCTAAAGCACACTTTTACTTCGAAAATTATTTTTATACAGAGTTGCTGATGTCTCATCTTAAAGAAATAAATATTTAAATGACTGAGCAACATCTTATAAAAGTATAGGGAATTGCTTGTGGTACTTGAAGCCAAAGCCAGTTGTCTTCATACCTACTCTTGAAGAAGAACTAGCTTTTTTCCTTAGCCCATGAGTTTTAGCCTTGACCTGCAGGGAGGAGTAGTGTTGCTGGCCCAAGGAATCTCGTGCCAGCTCTGTCGTGCACACCAGCACTGCAGGGATAATGGGTCTGGTGCAGCGGTAACCTCTATAGGCACAACCTGTGCTGTGGTTTATACTTTCATTTGTTATTAAAATGGTTGTTGCTGTTAGCCCAGCGGATTTCTGTACTGTTTGGGCCTGTTGGCCTACTCTGATTCCCCAGGCTGGGAGTGTTGCCATAAAAACACAATAAGGTGGCAGATTCCTTTACTGTGAACTTCCTAGGGTTATCCAAATGGTCTGGGATGGAACTTTGGTTGTCATGGTTATTGTTAGAAATCCCAGCACAGGTCAGAATCATCATCTTCTGCCTGAGTTCAAAATTAGGGCTGGGGAAATGGGAAACTAGTTTTAATAGAAGCCAGGCGAGGGAATTCCTTTGCAAGAGTGACGTGCAGATCCTAAAGGTGATTGTGTCCAAAGCACAGTGTCCTGCATCCTTAGGTCACTCATATTGAGAAACAAACATACAGAAGTTAAAGTTTCATCACGTTGCCCCAGGGGAGAGACCCATGCAGAAATCTTGGCTCCTTGGCAAGCTGCTTTCAAAATCCAGATTAAGGAGAAACACTACCAAATCAACAACTGTCAGATTTGTTTTCTATATGATTTAAAGTTGGCTGCCACACTGTTCTCTTTGAACATGTGGGAAGTGACAATCAGATGTTAGAGGGCTTTCTCTTCCTGCCCCCCTTCAGCTAATATGGTAAATGACTCCTCTGTGGACGGGACTGGGGACAGAGGGAAAGCCAAGCTTAGCTCCGATTGACAGCAGCATTGTGTGACTACTTCAGAAGCAGTGACACACGGGGAGTTTTTTTTTTCCCTTTCTGATTTTCATTCACTAGGCCAGGGGACAGTGTGGGGAGGACAAGGCAGGAGTCTAGCAGTGACAAGTGTGTTTCTAGAGAGTTCTTTGCCTAAGGAAGTTGCCCTGCTTGTAACATTTACAGGTGATTTTTATTTTCCTTTCATGTCCCTGCCTTTTTTTTTTTTTTTTGCCCTTAATTCCTAGTGTTTCTTCCTTTTGCAAGGAAAAGGTTGCAAATAAAAATGGGGAAGGAAACATGGGAAGTTTAGGAGCTGGTAGATTTGATCATTTCAGTGTAGGTTTCCTATTTTGTTAGTTTTTAATCCCAGTCAGGGCCTTCTTTTTAGTAATATGCATGGGTTTCACCTGCCTTGTGGGCTGGCTCTGCTGCGTTAAGGCTAGAGGGTTAGCAAGCTTCCCTGTCACCGGGAGGATCAGGAGTGGGGGGGAGTGATATTACTCCTCAAGAGGGGCCTTAGCTGGCCTCTGCCCTGTGGAGGGCCTAGGTGGCTCAGCTGCGCGCTCTGAATTTTGCCTCTTAGATTTTCCTCCTCCTTTTCCCTCCCTGGAGTGTCAGGTAAAGCTTCCAGGGAAGAGCAACTTGAAGCAGGTGAACCCTGTGCTGCCTTCCCACTCCTGCCCTTTCTGGCTGGTGCTGGTTTGGGACTGAAGCCCTTGAGTCCTCTCTTAAGATTATCTTGACTGTAATCTGAAGTAGGCTTTTGGGGGCAATAGTTAGGAATGTATGGACTATCTTCAGTCATCAAGGAGACTCCAACTGGAACTGGGAAAGCTGGCTCCATGGGGCCCAGGGAAAGGACGGTGGAATTTTCTTCTGAGGCAGATTTCATGCACTGTCCTGAAAGTGATTTCGACCACAAACCTTTGATCTGGGAGTGAGCCCCTGCCCCCATGCTTTTGGAGACCTCAGTTGGTGACTGCTTAGACCTCCTACTCTTTGTGTATTGGGAAGGGGTGTTAAAGAGTAGGGCTGAGCGTCAGCTGGGTGGGGCTGGGGGTGTAGGGGATTGGGAAGGGGCAATGGGTTTCCTTGATTAGTAAGAAGGGCTGAACGGTGGGGTAGGCAGAAGAGTTTTGCTTAAGTTTCTTGGTTGTCCCTGTCTCTGTCCAGGAAGGTGACATATTCTGAGAGTCTTGGTTGAGCTGGATTTTGATAATCTGTCCCTGTGCATGTCCATCATGGGCTCTGCATTTTAGCGTTGCCTCAGTCCACAGTGGACATGTGTCTTCTCATTTGAGCTCCTGCCTGATCAGAGAGGGGTTGGAGTCAGATGAGCTAAGTGTAGAA